TGCACCACCACGTAGGACGCAATTCGAGTCGTGGAGCGACCTAGAGGACTACCTGAAGCTGTACGAGTCCGAGACATACCAGGTATTAGCTTGCCCTGAAGTGAATTCGCTGCTACGGATTATAACCTTCGGTATATTAACTCTGGTTGATATTACTAGAGCTTTCGAGTTCGGACAAACAACAAGGTGGCGAACAGAAACAAAAAGATTCGAGAGTCAGGATCTCAGGCGCCTCTCGTTCCAGAAGAATGGATCAACTACGCAAGAACATTCATTTGTACACATGGAGGGAAGTACAAGGCCAGGGGCAAAGGGAAAAGAAAGCGGCAGCGCTCAAGGGCCTTGCAGTGCGGCGTACAGGTATGTCAGTATCAGTTGGGCTCAGCTGGGCTCAGTTGGGTACAATTATGCTCAGTTGGGCCCTATTCGGCTTAGCTGGGTATTTTCTAATTGGCTTACTTTTGATTGGTCTGATTGGGTGTAATTGTTGTCATAGATCAATGCCTGTGTGCAAGTGGTGGATCCAACTGGCCCGAAGCTCACATCCGTGCGCCTGGAGCACAACCACCCGTTGTCAAGACACACTTATAACCAGTATCCGGGCAACCGGACAGCGCTGAAACCCGACGTGCTGTCTACAGTGGACCATCTTCGCCGGGCTGGAGCAAAGAAGAAGAATATTTTGGCCTACATTCACGACAACTCATCTTTTCTGTCGAGCGCAACCTGGACTTGCCATCCAAGCTGAAGGAGATTAAGGTTTTGACGTCACAGGTATGATATTTTTTCGATTTATTGGATTGAAGTTGTATCAATATCTTACGACTAATGAAACGTATGCAGGTGGATGTACTGGACATTGCAGGCAAGGGACTAATAACGGACGAGATAATGCACAAGATTCTGGCCAAGATATTTGGCTCCAAGGACGGAATTACTGTCTTCGATTCGTCAACACTTGGCACTGTAGTTGACGGAAAGGTGACCACCTGTGTAATGGGCCCGCTACGTGCCCACTACTTCGGCTTACACGTTAGCGCACGTGTATGAGGAAGCGTAGTTTGCTTTAACTTAGATTAACTATACTTACGTCTCGTAAGTATAGATTTACT